GTGCTGCAAAGGCTGCTGAATGCCAATCAAAAGCACTTGTCAAATTTGGGTATAGAAAGCTGTGTGTTGGAACTCCTACTCTTTTGCCCTGTACAAAAGTACTTATTTGATTCTTCTCATCTATTATCTATTATCTTATCATATGCAAGGCTCCTTTTTCTTTTCTTTTCTTTTTTTTCTAAAAAAAAAGCACTTAAATTCCCTAATTGGCTTATGGGTTAAACATCTTACAAATAAGTACATAAAACTTACTTTTACTTATTTATTTATTTTTCTATGTTTATTATACTTTGATTAAATTAAAATAATCTATTTTTTAATTCATTACTTAACTTATTACTTAGACATTTTAAGAAATATATAGATCTTTAATTAATTATTTTAATTAAAAAAATTAAGTTGAATTGTTTCTTGTAACATACGTATGTACTACAAATAAGAAAATTTAAATATCATGAAATATTATGTTCGCACGAAAATAAAATAAATTTATTATAAGAACATAAAAAACCAATGTTGAGAAGCCCACGTGGAAAAGCCTGAAGTCACTAACTTGAAAAGAAAATTGGGACACAACAAGCTAGAGAGGAAACCCCGAACAAAAAGCAAGTGTGATCCAACCTAAAAAAAAAATGTAAATATATGTGATATAGCCTAAAGAAAAATGTAAATATATGTGATCTACTCTAGCCTAAAGAAGAAATTCCATATGAAGATATTTTTTAAAGAGGAGAAGTTCGTTAAAGAGGAATATAAATATATGTGTGTGTGTATTTGCAAAATAATATCGTGTAATTATGGTGAAGGAATGTTAGAGTATTTAATAAAACCCTATGTATAAATATCTAGCTTGTACATATTGAGAAACATTGAGAAAAAATTGAAATCTTCAATTCCTGAAAACTTCAACCAAGCATTTCTGCCGCTACTCGCTCTTGTTGCCATCTTTATTGGATTTTTTTCCACTTTTTTGTATTATTTTACAGATACATCAATGGCTACATAAAAATCTCTTCCATAAATAAAATTTGACAGAGTATTAGAATAGACTGACAAATAAATCTTGACTTAGATGAGCGGTTCAACCCTTCGCCAAAAAATTACTCTAATAAGCTGTAATATTCTCAATCCCACAAACCCTAATTATCCATATTATATAGGCAATAGTGATGGCTCGAATCCACTATTTGTAATAGAAACTCTAGATGCAACAAACTATTATTATTGGGCTAGATCTATAAAAAGAGCTTTGAGAATAAAAAATAAAGTGAAGTTTATAGATGAGACTCTGAAAATGTTAATAGATCTCAACAATCTGCTTGTGGATCACTGGCTACAATGTAATAACATCATGATTACTTGTACACATAACACACTAACACTCGACATTACGTGTGGAACACTTTATATTAATACTGTTTGCTAGCTTTGGGTTGAGTTGAAATAAAAGCATGCACAACAATGTCTTAATGATATATAAGGTAAAACAAATCATTGATATCTTTATGTAGAATCAAGATTTGGTGAACACATTTTCAAGACTAAAGGTGATCTTTAATGAGCTAATGAATTATGAGTTCATCCCAAATTGTACATATAGAGCACTAGAACCCTAATTAATTACCAACAGCGAGATTGAGTTCTTGATCGGACTAAACGAGTCATACAAAACAATTAAAACTCAAGTTTTATTTACAAAATATTTTGCTACTTTAAATAAAGTTTATTCAACAGTTTAGCAAGAATAAAAGCGAATAGAGATTTTTTTATACTCTATAATGGAAAAGACCTTAATTTTTAATGTTAGGAACACAAATAAAAGTACAAAAGAAACTAATTCTCTTAAAAAAAAATACTATTATACCCATTATAAAACCACTAGGTACTTATTAGAGAAATATTATAAAGCTAATCCAAGCTAACAAGTTTGCTTATGTTGTAAGATGATAAAGCTCACTATGGATAATTATTACAAGTTATATGAATATCGTAAAGGGCACAAGAATCATGGTAAAGGAAAATCCTCTTGTGTCAAACCAAGCTTCCTCAACGGGTTTAAGTGAATTAGAAGATGGGTAGAAATTGACTTCAATTACTCGAGAACAATACTTACAACACAGTCAATGATAAGACATCCCTCTTCATCACAAACATCAGAAACAAATCCAATCAGATTTCCTGATATGTATACTTGTCTTTCTGCTCATTCTATGGAGACAAATAGATGTAATGAATATTCTTGGATTTTAGACACAAGGGTACTAAATTATGTTGTGTATTCATTTTCTTTATTTACTAGAGTTGTAAATAGAACTCATTCTTGCTTTGCCCAATGGAAGTATAATGAAAGTCTCACACACTGAAACAATAAAGATTAGCGATGCATTAACACTATATAATGCATTATATGTGTCTTGTTTTAATTTTAACTTGATTTTAGCAAGAAATTAGCTAAAGATATGAATTGTCGCCTCATATTTTTATCATAATCTAGCATCATAGAGGACTTTTTAACTTCAAAGACAATTGGAATAGGTAGAATAAAAAATGACTTATGTTAGTTAGAGTTAGATAACAATACAAGGATGAATTGTAAAAGCATGTTGGCAACAATACATTCCACTTTGAATATAAAAAATAAATTTGACATTTGGCATTATAGAATATAATATAATTCATTGCCTGGTATATAATTTTTTTCCAAGTACTATAAAGAATAAAGAATGGGACTTTATTATGTATGCCTCTTAGCCAAAATGCATAAGATCATGTTTCCTAATAGTTAATATAAATCAAATTTATAAGAATGATGACTCCTGTATTTGACTATCACTAGCCCGACCTATCATACTTAATACAACTCTTAAGTCAACACATGAAACAACCAATAAATGAGCACATAAAGGCTGCAAATAAAGTCTTGAGATACTTCAAGAAGGTTCTAGGTCATGGATTATTTTATCTTTATAAGACTAATTTGTAGCTTAATGCTTTTTGCAATAGTGATTGAGGAGTATGTCAGGACACATGGAGATAAGTGATAGGGTATTGCATGTTCCTTAGAGTATTACTATCAATTGAAAATCAAGCAACATAGTCTCTTGGTCCTCGGTTGATACAAAATACAAAATTATGACAAACACCTATTGTAAGTTAACTTGGATAAAATATCTCTTAAACAACTTTCAAATTGATCATAAGGAATTTGTTATATTACAATGCAGTTTTCCATGTGAGAACTAAATATATAAAAATAGATTATCATTAAGTGTGAGAAAAAATATAAAACATAAGTATTTTAATAAAATATGTGATAAGTGAATTTCATATAGTAAGTATTTTTACTAAACCACCTAGAAATAGACTATTGCTTGTGCATATTGTCAAGATAGGAGTAGAAAACATTTACTCTCTATCTTGCACAAAAGGGGGAAGTCAACATGGGTTTTTCACATTTTAACTTCCACCTAGAAATAGACTATTGCTTGTGCATATTGCCAAGATAGGAGTAGAAAACATTTACTCTCTATCTTGCACCAGAGAGGGAAGTTAAAATGTGAAAAACCCATGTTGAGAAATTCCTAAGGAAAAACCCAAAGTTAGCAACTTGAAGAGGAAATTGGAGCACAACAACTTGAAGAGGAAAGCCCAAAACAAAGCAAATGTCATCCAACCTAGAGAAGAATGTAAATGTATGTGATCCAACCTAAAGAACAACGTAAATATATATATCATTCAGGTTAAAGGAAGAAAACCCATATGAAAATCTTTTTTGAAGAGGATAAGCTCAATTAAAGAGGAATTTAAATATATGTGTGTGTATATTTAGAAAATGATATTGTATAATTTTAGTTTAGGAATATTAAATTATTTAAAAAAATTTTAAATATAAATATTTCGCATATAGAAATTAAGAAACATCAAGAAAAAAAAATAAAATCTTTTATTCTTGAAAACTCTAGAGAGCTTTTGTTTTGCCACTCACTCCTTTTACCGTTTTTGTTATTTTTTTATAGATCCAAAGATAATTAGACGAGAATCTATTCTAAAAATAAAATTTGATATTGAAACTTAAACAGATTTAATTTATTGTAACTTTTATGAGTTTATAAGGTTTATTCATTTATAAAATTTTAATTTCCTAATTAGTTTACTAGTTAAACAGTTTACAGAGAAATTAAAACATGGGACTTCTATTCTTTTACTAAAAAAGCTTTTATGATTTAATAAATTAATTAATTGTTCTTTCTACTTAATCGCACATGAGATTTTCTTTAGCAAACTGTAAATGTTTTTTTCCAAGGCTGCCAAAAGCAGCTTATTGTCGAGCGGGTAATGGAAAGCTGTCGGCTCTTGTTTGGCTCTGTACAAGTACTGGGTTAATTGGATTCTTTTTGAGCTGTGATTTAGTTTATATCATTAATTATCACAATTAAATTTAAATTGCAGATGCTTTAGATAGATTAGCTTAATGAACGAATAATTAAAGCAAAATGGTGGGTTCTCTTTATATACAACACATACCTTACTATTAACTGAGTATTCTTCTACTTTTTTAATTTTAATTACATCTTAATTAATTTTAATTAACAACTAAACAGATATGTTTGATCATTGCTCTATTTATTTATGTATTTAAAGAGAATTATTTGCTGCTTAAACTTAATCACTTAAAATTTCTAATGTGAAGCCACGTGGGCTAATGACAATATGTAGTTTTATTTTTATTTTTTTAAAGTTCAGATGAAAAATTGTTTAAAAATTATTTATTTTATCTATTTTGAGATCTTAATATTTCATAATTTTGATTATTTCTGTATCTTCCGCGCCATTTTTACCGGGCAAAAGCTCCAATTCGAAAACTCAAACTCAAACACCAGAAACCCAAGCACAGAGAAAGCTAAACAGACGCCATTGCTGTACTTACAGATCTCTTTCTCTCATGAATTAAATAAACAAAGAAGAAGTTAAAAGAGAAAAAGATGAAAAAAAGTGGGAGGAAGAAGAAGAAAGAAAAAGGCTTTTCGTCATTTGATTCTGAGCACGTCCACACCGTTACTTTAACGTGCAGTCCGCCTCAGCAGATTCCCACCACCGAGAAGCCGAGCGAAGCAAAACGATCTGTTTGGCAATTGATTTCAACTTTCTGTTTCCTTCCTTTCTCAAGCCAAGAATCTCTCTTTCCCTTCCCTCCCTTTCTCTCCTCCAGATTCCCCTTCTCCCCACCACCCACACTTTTCATCCTCTTTTAACGATGCATATCGCCTTGTTCTTCGCTTTCCCCTCCCCTCTCTCCTCTCCTCTCTCTCTCTCTCTCTGCGCGCCGTCGTTTTCGTTTTTCTTGGTGAAGATTGCTTTGATAATCTGGGAAAAAGCTGTATTCTATGGCTCCTCCTCATCCTCCTCCAGGTGTCACTCATATCTCCAATCCTTGTATTTATGGTATGGGCTGTTTAAATTTTTACTTTTTTATTTTTCCTATGTAGTTCTTCTTGTGCTGCAATTCAATATATGTAGAAATCTACCACTCGGCTATGCTGTATGTAGCCATTATGCATTGTACAGATATAATTCATGATTATCAATGAATTTTACTGGGTACTATAGGTAGAATTTAGAGATGGGTCTGTACTATTCTTCTGGGTATCTGTTTTCAATGTTTTTTGCAAGGATGTCTTTAGATATGGGGGTTTTTCCCCCTTTACCTCTAATTTCAATCTTTTTTTTCCTGGTTTTTGTTGTTCATGTGTGTGGTTATGCTTCGTTGTCGATTGAAATTTCTTATGGTAAGCAGGGGATTTTGTTTCTTCAGAGAGGAAATCGAGGTTTATGAAATGGCTCAGTAAGCTTTTTAAGGGCGGTTCTAATCGGAGCAATGGTGGCGGTGGTCGTCATCATCCTCAGTTTCTTGGCGACGAAAATATGGTTTGGCGGGCACCTTCTCGGTCCTTGGTAACTATACTTTTTTTATTCTCTACTCTGTTTTTCTTTCTGGAAAAATAAAATGGAGTACAGGGAATGGCAATACTCGGTAACTATACTCTGTTTTTCCTTTGGGAGGTACGGTAATTCATACTTGGAGTGATAGAAGCAAGCGTGGTGATTTCACGTGTTTTCAATTTGAGCAGGATGATAGGTCTAGAGCTGACCGGGAGAAGGAGGAATTGGATCGTGCCATTGCCCTTTCTTTAACTGAAGATATGAAGAGACCAAATGGTATATTTTGGAGAAATTATCTTTTATAATCAATGGATACATGGTTGATTTGGTATAAAAATTGTTAGTGAATTCAAATTTTTATCAAACTGATATTCAGCATTTACCAGTTAAAAAATTTAATTTCTCATTGTTTCTAATGCTTCATGCTTAATGTTTTAAAACAATCACTGGGCTTCTTCACTCTCCAGTTGTTTTAAACAAAAAGATTGAAGGTAACTTGTAGCATAAGCAAATGTTTATCCTCGGGTGCCGGTCAGCTTAGTTGATGCAATGTACGTGTTGCCACTACTATTAGTTTACTGCTTCATTTGCAGGATATGGATGGCAATCAAACAATGACCAAAATCTTCCGAGGGCACTTCAGGATAGCTTGAATTCATCATATCCTCCTTATGCACCAACACATTATTATCCAAGAGGATACAGGTTAATTTGTCTATTATAGAGTTTTCTAGTCAGTCCACCATTAGCTAGAGTTCTGCCTTAAAGGTCAAATGAGTTTGCTGTGTGAAATATCTGATTGTAATCAATTATTCTAAAGGATCAAGCTCAAAAACAAGTACAAACCCACCCAAAATTATGCTGAAATTTAGTCGGGAAATGGAGCAACAGCCAACTTGAAAAATTAGAATCTTACTCTAGATACTGTTTGAAGTAACTAAT